ACACCTATCTGCACAGCCAGGCAAGGCACTGCCCAAGCACTTGGCACTGACTGAGCCCAGGCAGAAACATCTTACTGGAGGCACTCCCAGCTCTGTCTGAGGGCATTTCCTGGCCACAGGAGCCTGCTCAGGTTGCCCAATGGGCAGGCTGGAGGCCTGAGAAGTTGGCGTTCTGTGACTAACCCTTCATCAACAGTGAACAGGAGTTGGTGGCTACATACTCCAGCTTTCTCACCCCTCCAGCGCCTCCGCGGGACTGGGTCCCAGCTGCTCGCAGGGCTATTCTGCATTGACTTCCTTTCCTTCCTTCTCACACCCATTCCCATTCCAAATAAACTCCTTGCATGGGAATCTGTCTAGGGCTTAACCCTTGGAGAAGCCAGTCTAAGACAAAAACCCCAACTCAACTCACAGGCAGCATTCATGCCTTGTTGCCAGCATGCCCTACAGCAGCCCTGGACCAGAGTGGCAGCAGTGAACCAGACCCCAAGGCCAGAGGGAGGCAGGACAGGGCTGGGCCTCTGTGTACCCCTCCCTGGGATTCACAACCCTCCGGTCCTTTTTGACTCCTCCCACCCAGCACAGAACATCTTCTTTTTCTTTCCTTCCACAAGAGGAAGAGCAGAATGACAGAGGCTCAGGGATCCCCAACAGTGGAACTCAAGGGCAGACTTGGGCATGGAACATTCTCCCACGATCTCTATCCCGTTCCCACTGCCACACCCCGTGATCTGCCCCCGGCACCCCATGAGAGGCCGCTCCTCCTCAGAGGGGAGTGAGTTAAGTGCCGCGTTACCAAGGAACTGCCACAGTAGCCACCAAAGTGACTGCTCGTTATTTGAACACTTTCTTCTATTTGACTGAATACAGGAAAAATGTCACAAATAGAATATTCATCATCCCCCTCGCGCCTTTTCTTCCCTGCTTATCTCCCTGCTGTCATGTACGAATCCCAGCTTCAGGTTCATTTGGTATGTTGAGTGCGTGCCCGGGGAGAGGCTTGCCCACGTGTTCCACGCTGCGTGACAGCCCTCCCTCCCCACTGGTGACACCCCACCAGACAAACGCCACTCACGGTGACCCTCGAGGGTAGGACACCGTCTGCCTAAGCAGAGGGGCCTTCTGCTCCATGCGGAGGGAACATAAAGGACCCGAGGAGCCTTCACAGCCATTTAGTGATTCTCGGCATGTCACTTTTACAGACACCTCAGCTTCCAGAGCTTTTATCCTCAGGTGCTTCTTAGAAGACGCAGAATGGCATCCCCACCTCACTTCAAACACCGTCTGTTTCAAGATCCGCAGAGGGGCTAACGCCGCCTGCCAATTTCTCAGCAAGAATCATCAGCGTACAGTGTCTCTCTCTGCCTCCTTTCCATCAGTGCCAGAGACTCACCCAGTCCGCTCCTCCTCCAGCCAGGCCCCATCCTGCAGATTGCCATGTCAGGCTGCAGGGAACACGTTTCTGGGACTGAAAAATCAAAGTACTTATTGCCCTGACAATTAGCTATTATGTTCAACTGCAGTAACACAAACCTGAAAACCAGTGGCTTAAACAAGGGAGGGTTTTTTTTCTTTTTCTCCTGTAATATCATTCCAGAACTGGGCCAGCCAGGGCTGGTATGGCTGATCTATGAGGCCACCAAAGACCCAGACTTTTTCTCCTTCATTCTTAGGATGTGATGATCACCCCATGCTCTTATTAATAAGATGGCCACTGAAACTCCAGCCATCACATTCGAATTTCTCACAGGATAAAGAAGAAAAGCAGAAGGGAGATCCCAAGCGGAATGAGCCTCTCTTATAAAGAGCTTTCCCAGAAATCCCACCCAAGAACTCCAGCTATACCTTGTTGGCACGTCTGTGTCACATGACCATCCCTAGCTGCAAGGGAGGCTGGGAAATCCAAGCTTTTAGCTTGGCACGCTGCCATCGTGCATGCAATTTCAGTCCTGTTCGTGTTATGAGCTAACTTGCATTCCCTCCAAATTCATACATTAAACTCCTAACCACCAGCACCTCAAAATGTGACTGTATTTGGAGATAAGGCCTTTATAGAGGTGATTAAGGTAAAATGAGGTCATTAGGTTGGGCCCAAATTCACTATGAGTAGTGTCTTTATGAAAAGAGGAAATTAGGACACAGACCCATGCATACAGGAAAGACCATGTGAAGACACAGTGAGAAGACGGCCATGTGCAAGCCAAGGAGAGAGGCCTCAGAAGGAATCAACCCTGCCGAGACCTTGATCTCAGATTTCCAGCCTCCAGACTGTGAGAAAATCCATCTCTGTTGTTTAAGCCCCCCGGTGTGTGGTCCTTTGTTATGGCAGCCAGAGCAGACTAATCCAGATAGTAAGTAAGGAGCGAAGACCGGCTGTGGGTGGGCAATTAACAAGACCTGGCGCATTTGGGGAGGCCAGGTCTTTATTACCAGGCCTTTTAAAGATATCTTTAAAGTACCTTAGCATACTTTCTCAAAGATCCTTTTTAAGATATTGTTTATCAGGTGGTGTCCTGAGGGCCTGCACTGTCCCCACCCTACCAGGCTGCAGCTCTTCCAGCCTGCAGTTCTCTCCTCCCTAGAAATGCTTGTGTAAAAATTGCAGCCTCTCTGGAATGATTTGAGAAGTACTGAAATAGCCCTCCCTCCCTTCCACTGGCCATAAATAGCCTGAAAGTCTAAAGTTGGTGCTTCGTTCCTTTGGTTAATCCATTATCCCTATGAAAGTGCAAATTAACTGGCAAATGATCTAGATCTCATGAGCCCAGAGCAGGTTTGGATGGAGGGAGAGAGCATGGGACAGGGTCAGGAGGACGGCTGGGAAGAGAGTATCAAAAAGCCAGAGGCCAGGAGGGCACAGAAGGCCCAGGTGGGGCCGCTACCAGGAGAAGGGTGTCTCAAACACCATAGGCCCGTGCTGCTTTGCTAAAAGGAAATGTGGGAAGGTGCTGGGGTCAGGATCCAAATTTTCCCAAGGAAGACCCTGTACCTCTGCCCCATCCCAACCTCTGATGAAACTACATTTAGACACCACCTTTCTGCACATTCACTGCCCTCTGTTCCCTCACTTGCCCTTCAAGCATCTCCACAGGAAACCCCTAGAGAGTTGGATCGGGATGCCCTGCCTCCCCTGGGTGCCCATGACACTGGTTCCCTCATGTGAGACGTCACAGACATGAACCTCTGTCTTTGCTGAATCTGACAGAACATCTCAAAGAATTCTTTCAGAAAATGTTAAACTTCCCAAGTCTTATTTTGAATATAGAGATGGGGTCTCCCTATGTTGCCCAGGCTGGTCTCTAACTCCTGGGCTCAAGCGATCCTTCAGGATTGCAGGCATGAGCCACCACAGCGGGACCCAAGTCTTTTATTTACACCTTTATTTATTTTCTTTTTTGAAACAGGGTCTCACACTGTCACCCAGGCTGGAGTGCAGTGGCACTATCACTTCCCACTTGTACCTCGACCTCCTGTGCTCAGGTGATCCTCCAGCCTCAGCTTCCTGAATAGCTGGGACTACAAACACACACCACCACGCCTGGCTAATTTTTGTATTTTTTTTTGTAGAGACAGAGTCTCCCTATGTTACCCAGGCTGGTCTTGAACTCCTGGCCTCAAGGGATCTGTCTGCCTAGGCCTCCCAAAGTGCTGGGATTACAGGTGTGAACTATTGGGCCCAGTCCCAAGTCTTTTATTTTCTTTCTTTTTCCTTCCTTCCTTCCTTCCTTCCTTCCTTCCTTCCTTCCTTCCTTCTTTCCTTCTTTCTTTCTTTCCTTCTTTCTTTCTTTTTTTTCCTGAGACACAGTCTCACTCTGATGCCCAGGCTGGAGTGCAGTGGCACAGTCTCAGCTCACTGCAACCCCTGCCTCCCAGGTTCAGGCAATTATCTTGCCTTAGACCCCCATGTAGCTGGGATTACAGGCGTATGCCACCATACCCGGCTAATTTATTTT